GGATTTGATAAAATATATCTGTAAACCCACATATTTTTATCAGTTTTGAAATACATATTATAAAGAATCTACTTTATTTATTCTTTATTTCGACATATTATTACTCAATTTGACTTCCTAGCATCAGAAGGAATGATATGGATGAACTACATGGACATGGACCGACCGGTTCTGATACGGTGGTAGTTCTCATGGAATTCCACTGTGAAAGATGTTTTGAAGGGTTGGTTTCTCAAAGAAGCCACACATGTACATGTACCGTATATCACTACATGTACATGGTGATTTCGCAGCTCAAGGTGTTGGACTTGCCTATTACATGCACTGGTATATTGGACAGATTCATAACCTTATATAATATTAATTGATATTAGCTGCCAAGGCAGTGAAATTCATTGGACACAAGATGTCTTGATCCACCCCCAGTCAAAATTTTGTATGCTACTCTCTAAACAAATTTATTGAAAGAAAGTCTCGTGTGCACATGTATGTAACTCTTGAATGCCCATTGTGCCCCAAAATAGCCCGTACATGTATGTAGAGTACATTGTAATTTTAATAATGACACATGTGGACATGTACCGCAGAATTTGACCAATGAGACTACAGACATGAAAGGATCACTGCATTGGATAGCAATGAACAGTGTACTTGTACTAAAACAGGACAGGTCTCCAGTCTAGTATCTCTTTACCCTGCACATGTCACACAAGAGGGTGGTGTGGGACAGGAATAGATTCATCTGTCCTCATCATGTGGCGGGAAGCACCACCTACATTTCCACCGCTGCACTACGTCGATTGTTGAGTCATTCGGTTATTTCAACAGTTGAGGTTCATTATTTTAGCCTCACCAGGTTCTAGTGTACATGTAGTAAGCGGTTTTTGTGGGCTTCTGTTATTCATTTTATTTTTTCCCCCAAAATTTCAATAGCAACATCACTGAAAATGTACTGTATGATATTAAAAACTGTCAGCTCAATAGGGACTTACTATTGAGGAATAGAAATTGGTCATTGCTTGTTCGCTTTGTAAAGAGGCATTCTCTTGTAAGATTTGTTTAACCTTTTGTGGGTTGGTGATTAAATGTAGTGGTATTTATGCATCTACTTCAGAAAGGGAAGAAAATACCTGCTCTTGGCTCACAGAGAAAATATTTGATGGACTAAATTTGAACTGCCACTTTCTAAAAAGTGAAACTTGGTGACCAAGCAAGAAAATAAAAAAAATGATTATTAAATTCGAATTATCTGTCAGGTTACGTTGTGTAAGTCACTGATATAAACATTGATGCGACAATAGAACTTCTTTGAAAGCAAACGAGCACAGCTCTTTTTTTTTTTTTTTTGAGTTGAGTGCACACCTGTTTCAAGCAGGCACGCGAGCTCATTATTCAGATAGCCCTGTTAGTGATGCATTAGCGTGAAATGCGCTTATCTGCCTGAAGAGAGTTGACCCCCAAAATAGTGGACGCTTTGTGCATCTGTTGCATTTCTGTCTCAGCAGATGACGTCAGCTGTCAAGGGTTTGAAAAGGTTTCTCAGATGTAATGCCCCTTTCCTAAACCAGCTTCCTACAGTTCTAATTGACGTGAATTGCATGTTTTCGTTTCATTACCTTTTTTTTCAACAAGACCGAGGTGGCCACTGGTTTGAGTCCAAAAATGATGCATCCAGAGATTTTCCAAAGTTTGCCTTTGTCCGTATGGTTCAATTCATGATCAGGCCAATAACAGGCCAGGGTTTTGAGCAATCTTTATGTGATTGACACAGTTATTTTGAAAAGTTTAATGGAACTCAAACTGTACCTTCATCCCCAGCAGAATTTTTTTTTTACCTATTTCACAGTCCCTAGGAAAGTGTAGTTGAGTACTATTGCCCTCAGTTCCGGTCAATATACAGTACATGTGAAAGTCTAATAGTGCACTGCTAAATGCTATGGCACTCGGATCGATGTTTGTCGCAAGACAAAACAATTGACACACTTTCCTCCTTTGACTTGTATTTTTCAAGCTTTCTTTTTCTCTTGATGCCCAGATCGAAGAGAGGATAGCCGGCTTTTTGACAGACGTTGCCGTCAAAAACTACCGATCCAACGAAGACTTGCAGGACATCATAGATGCATTGCAGTCAGGGGTACGTTAGGAATTATTTTTACTCATTTTTCTATGAGCTTCTCTGATGATTTATCACCTAAAATTTGACACCTAAAAGCTGCGACATGAGGCCTGACACTTTATTGGTGTGTAAAGCCGCATGCTCAGAGAATGCGAAAAATGAAGTTGATTTTGTAAGGTTTTTTGTGATGAAACAAAGTTTTAATTTTTGCTGTGCTGTTTTAAAACAAATGGTGGAATTATAGCTTGTGGCACAAACAATTTTGAGTGCACAAACGCTACAAGGAAATATGTTCCTCAGTGTCAACTACGAAGACAACTGTAACTGATCCGTTTTCGGTTTCATCAAAAGGAATTCCCCACAGTTTCATTCTCTCATCTCTGTACTTGACTTAGACTCTGAGAAACTAAGGAGGATAATTATTGACACTTGATTTAGTCACATGTACTCTTTTGTGTATGTACACGTAGCTTTCTTGTTGCGGAGTGAAAGACTACAATGATTGGAACATGAACATTTACTTCAACTGCTCCGAGGCGATTGTGGGTCAGAACACGAACCCAGAGGCGTGCGGCGTGCCCTTCTCCTGCTGCATGGAGGATCCCGCGAGCGGAGTGGTGAACACGCAGTGCGGCTACAATGTACGGAAGCCCGATAGGACGGTAAGGTGCTCAAACCGGCATGGTTGCCGGAATTCAAAAGGTTTTCTTGTATTTCGTATGCCTAATGCCAAATTTTCCGTGGATCAGAGAAAAACAGACTTAATTTCCCATCTCTTACCCGAAAAAAGGACGCGTTGCTCCCTTTATAAGCAAACCATGTTCTCTCACTTGAGCACACATTCCTTGCGTGCACCAAAAAACAGAATTTTCATTGATTCTTGTTGGCAAGGAGATAAACGGGTATCACATCATTACTCATCATCGTACTAGTCACTGGCATGACATGAGAGTAGAATGATTTAAACTCATTAATGCTTTTTAATGTGGTGGTCGAGTTGTCCAATAAACTAATGACAAGTTAGAAAGGAAAATCACTGGTTGCCCGTAGGACTAGCAGAAGATGTTAAGGATGGGACTTTTACCTGTTCAAATGTTTAAATGAAAAAAAGTTCCAAATCCGTTTACAGATTTTCCTAAACATTTAAACGGAACTGTCCCTTATAGAGGTTTGACGTTGTGATTGGCGCAATCTGGAATTCAGTTTTATTGTAAGCGATGCCTGTTACATACTATTTGTTTTCCCTTCCTGCATCCATGTACTTTTTGAGAAAAAAAGTGGATTCTAAAACAAGAAACATTGCTTGTTTTAAATGCTCTAACATCAATCTACATTTTTACATAGGTTGGATCATGTGCATTGTTGTAATAATTATGCGTGGATTCGTGATTCTAAAACAAGAAACATTGCTTGTTTTAAATGCTCTAACATCAATCTACATTTTTACATAGGTTGGATCATGTGCATTGTTGTAGTAATTATGCGTATGAAAACACTGAGGTAGGCAGCATTGGCCTCAGTAAAATGTTGGCTAAATGCTTAAATGGTATTGGGAAAGTTTTTGTAAACGTTTTTCAAATTAAAGTTAAATTTCCACCCTTGGAAGGTGTACTGGTGCTCTCAAACTTCAAGCTCCAACGCGGCATTCCGTGTTGGAAGCTAAATGCATTCTATGGAACAAAAACAGAGGCATCTAGCCTGTGGATTCATTCTGCAGGAACCTGACACAGTGCCCTTTTAATTTGCCACACACAGCAAGTGAAGAATCAACCAACGCATTCCAAGCCATCACAGATTAACAAGCATTGGAATCCCAGCAATTTGTTTTTCTAATTTCCACAAAGCAATGCACCCTGTGGCTCACCTATCAGCTCTGGGTGTTCCTAAGCAATTAAGCAGACATCATTAACGCTGACTGACAGAGCTGCTGTCTCACGTTTCCCCTAACTATTGCCGTATTATTTTAAACAAGGGAAACAGCTGCCGGAAAAAGGTATAAGAATTCTAAACAGAGGTTGATATCGCTAGAAATGAATTCATGGGAGGGTTTTAGACTTCTGTGGATAGAAACGCGTAATAGACAGCATGTCACTGGGGGGGGAGGAAACAGGTGAAAGTAGAACTCGGCTTAGTACGAATGCAGCTTGTTGGATTGAATCTGAAATTCTACCCCTTTTGATCTCTTGATAGGTGAGTGAGAGGTCTCACATCTACTCATCGGGTTGCCTGAATGCCTTTAAAGGCTGGCTACAGACCAACCTGGTAGTGGTAGCGATCGCCGCCGGGGTTATTGTACTAGTTGAGGTAAGATGACTAACTCACTCAAAACTCATTCTGCCTCAACCCAGTCAGTCAATTGGTCAGTCAGTCGTGATCATTCAACTGGATAGTATCAGTCAGGTTTGGCTGCTAGCACTAACTGGCTTATTTCATTTTTTTCTGTGTCTTCCAGGTCTTTGGGTTCTGCTTTTCCACGTCCTTAGTGAGCGACATCAAGCGCCAGAAAGCCAGATGGCGACACTGAACACCAGAGGGCGCCAGACACACTCGCACAGGTCCCTCGCGCACGTGACACCACTCACCTCCAGCACCAATGATGGTTTCTAGTGACCATAATTTGTCAGGTCTCATGATGTAAAGTACTTTTGTATTTCAGTTATGCCAGTTTACTCTGAAGGTGGACCTTCCGTGAGTAATTTAATCATTCCAAAAAGATTTGACCTAGGTCTTTGGAACAGTGGGCACTGTTTTTTAGACAAGCAACAGTACGCTGCATTTCAAGAGGCCACGCCCCATAAGCCGGTTGTCACACCTCCTTCCCAATGCCACACCCACTAGACACTGCTTGAATCGCACAAATAAGCATTCATCTGGTCCAATCCTTGTGCACGAATTATTGCCACCAAACGTTGAGGTGAATTTTAAGTTCTATTTTTTTTCGCATTACAAATATATTAAAATGTGCATATATGCGTTTTTCTTTTATGTTTGAAAAGGTCTCATTAGACGGACGCTCAAAATAAGTACAGTTTTGCCATTACAATTAGGGTAAGCTAATGTGTGTATTCAGAACTAAAGTTGATTTGAAGTCATTATATTAACACTTTATTTTTCCTCCATTCTTCAGTCAATTGTTGTGAATGAAGCATCTAGAAGATGGTATATTTTACGTATTTGTCAGTAGAGGTTTATTTCCTATGCATCATACTCAGCATTTTCCTTTTTGACTGACTTTATTCCGAACATTACTCAGATTGTATTGTAGCTGACGATATTTGTTGAATTTCCAGTAAAATGTTTCCACAGTGAACTACCCATCAGCTCAACATGTTGACAAAAGCTGCATTTCTTGTCCAGTACATTTTTTTGTACACAAGAGACTAAAATCAATCATTTGACGAACGTAGTGGGCCAAGAGAAGTGACCAGGTTGTCGACCATTGGTTGATTTTGCTTGATAGCCCATGGATAACGAACATCTAGTGATCAACCAATGGTGGCTTATCAAACATGTCCAAGCTGTCTGCTTAAAATGTTCCATGCACATGCGGCCAAAGTGCCCGGTATGTAAGGTCAGTCATGTTTTCTTGTACATGTATGTTCAAGGTCCAAATGTAAGCACAACATCCCCCCCCTCCAATGATGAATGGTTTGGACCATCTAGTCAACCATTTGAAACCAGGCTTGAAGGGCTTGGTTTGCACCACTGGATATCCGTAGGGGATTTCATTTATCAGTTGAGGGAAGCATTCACATGAAAATAGTTGTCCAAGACCGAGACTTCATTGACTGTGTGCACCACGAGATTGGCAGAGAACAGTAAAGAGGGATTGATGACGAGGTTTGGACAAAAAAGATCAACAAGGAACATCTGAGCATAACCGTACTTCACATGTGCATGGTTGAAAAGCAGTTGACTCGTGGTCAACCGTAGTTCACATCCAATCTTGCCCTCTGTCTACTTGAGATAACGTTAGTCACGTTGACTTGTTTTGTCATGTGTAACGCATTCAGGTTCCCTACCTGTGCCTTCTTTTGTATGCAAGACTTGGGCAGTTTGTAAGAAACTTCATGTATATATGTAAGACGCACAAGTCCTGCAGCCCTTCCTCAAGATGTTTTGTAGTAACAGTATTTGCCTGTTCATGTTGTTGGTGAATCCAAATATTGTAGCCGCCAAAAAAGGGGAAGGGAGAACTACTCTGGACTTTTTGCACCCAACACTGCACCACTCTAAGCATGGGAAAATTCACCATCGAATCTAAAAAAAGAGGAGAAAATTATGCTTTATTTCCAATGATCCCTTTACTTAATTTTACCGCACTCAATATTCTTATTATTGTACCGTAAATCATAGATTGACATGTTGTGATGATTTGATTATGCTAAGTTGAGCTTGTTGGAAACAGTAGGAATGCATACTAGTTACACGTAGCTCCTAAACAAGCCTTAATTGGCATGTCCCTGCAGTGCGTAATGTGAACGTGAGGCCCACAGAATGTTTGGTGGGCGAGAAAGTCTTTTGAAGTAACGGGGAGAAACTGTGATTAATCTGCCCCTTATTCAAGTTCAAGTCAGCGTGTAATCACTTTACGGGTGATACATCTGTTGATTGTGGCATTTTTAGGGGGGAAAAAATGAGTGGGGAAAATTGTTCTCTGTTTAGATTGTGAATGAAATGACTGCAATGCCAGAGTTAATGAGCAAGGTCAAGGAAGGCGACAAGAATTCCTTGAATACACTTTGTAATTTTCTCCTGCTTGACACCATTTGGCCAGAGGCTGGATAAATGTCCTTTTTGCATTGAAGTTTTCACAATTCATCTGACTGGATATACCACATATCCCATGTCAATTTTGTAAGTCCATTTGAGTGTGCTTGACGATTGTATCTTTTCTTCACTGTGTTGTTTGTTTGCAGTGTAACAGGTTGTTTGTGCTTGTTTACGTGTAGGTAACATTTCAGACCAAGTTCTTTCAGAAGGGAGAAATCAACCCCCCCTTCTGTTAGCCCCTCCCCTCTCGTGCTGTGCTTACTGAGTGTAATAGGCCTAGAACATAATAACGGGACATTTTTGTTTACATGTGAGGGGAAACGTGATCCACTGAATCCCTGGGGGAAAGTGCACATGTTTGAGGTCTATTTGTGGAAGAAAGTTTAAATTCCCCCTCCCCCCAAGTTGACATTTTGCCTGCTTGTTGAATATTTTCCTCAGTCTGGTTACAGACACTTGTCCATTTTTAAATCAGAAGAAAAGAAACATATCAGTGCGCTTTGCATTTTAAGGGTTTGTTCTTCAGGGTTTGTTCGTACATCAAGCATCGTTTGGTCCATTTCTTTTGAGATGTTTAGCAAATATGAATTCTGAAAGTGTATAAATGTGTAAGAGTCATAGTTATATTCTGTACTTTGTATTTTAGAACTTTGTGTTATATTTGTATAGCTGTAAATATGATGTAATGGGCTTTCTGCAACTGCTGGGGTTGCGAAATCATCTTTTTTAGTAGGTTTGAAAAGGGTTAAAGGTCAAAGGTTCAAAAGTTGACCAACCAGATTTGCATAAGCACTGGGCTGATGTATACAGAGCCTCTAAAGAAAGAAATTTGTCCGTTGCAGGAACTGTTTGTTCTGCAAATATGGATTTTCTCCATTAACCATCTTGCACTGCGTGTAAGTGGATGTCAGATGTCCTGCTGCTGAAGACATGAATATGCTTTGCCATGTTATACATGTGCTTTGCAAGTCAATCATGTGTGGTCTGGGAACAGATTCCTTGCTTGGCGGAAGCAAACAGTTCGTGCAACATCTTGCTGCAGGTGCCATTCCAACCAGCACAAACCTGTGGTAAGACCTGTACATTGATTTGGGCCACCGTGACAGCCTGTGCTGAAACGGTCGATAGTCAACTGTAGCCCACTTATGAAAACTATGGCACGGTCAATAGTCATGGAGCTGAAGTGTCACATGTTGTCTTAAGTTTTACTATTTACAATCCAGCTGTGAAATAGTTCAACCTCCTCTGAATATAGATCTTTAGCAAACATCATAATGGTAACTTCCAAAGCTGAATTTGTTACTCTTTTAAAATTTTTTGAATTTTAAGGATATCTTTTTTGAAATACATTGTAACAAAACAAAGGTTTACGGAATGTAAGACAGGAAAATAGTAGCAACTGAGCATTTTTCATCAAATTGTCACATTTAAATGCCAAAGTAGAATGTATTTTATTGTTTGTAGATTTCATGAATGTGGGCTCTGGCACAGAACTTTTGGTGTTTTCATTGTAACCAGGCATTTTATGAGTGGACAAATAGTTTTTTGTGAATTTTCTCAACTAAAGGAACCATAGAGTAGGAATTACATAGGCATTATGCAGTGATCTTAAATTTCGTAACTGCACAACCGTCTCTGGGCAACATGAGAGTAGTGAATCATAAACAAGGTTTTTTTTTTTAACTAAGTAATGCACAAAATGGAAAAAATATGTGTAAATAAAGACAGCAGCAAACACAGTTGATATTCTTGTGTACATGTCGATGGAGCGCTTTGTCACGCGTTTTGCAGTATTGGTAACTCAACGAAAGGCAGGGCTGTGATTGCTCGGACTCTCTCATGAGGTACGGCCCTCCAAATAAGCCATTTGCGAGTTAAATTTGAATTTTTTTTAAAATGTGTACCAGATTTTTTTAAAATCTGGTACACTGAGTTATTTGATAGCACACAAACATAACAATTTTAATTCCCCAGACTAAAGACGCTGTTGCTATACCTCGTGATTGGTGGCAAGCTTTCGCTTAGCGACCACCATCTCTGGAATGGACTGGTTCCTTTGTGCCCTTCTTGTCCATTGAGAACAGTGTATTGTTGCAATGTGCCTTTTACGTTACTACGCAAAAGCTTGCCCTGAATCACGAGGTATAGCAACAATGTTTTTAGTTTGGAGAATTCACATTGTTATGTTCCCGTGAATTTCAAGAACTCAGTGTACCAGATTTTATTCAAAGGTCACTCGCAAAAGGCTTATTGTAAATCTGCGAAATTGTAACTACTCAAGTTTGGTCAGTCGCTTGAACTGTAAGATTCATATTATCACAGCCATATGGAAAACAGCTCACGCCTTGTAAGACGTTAAAAGCTTCTTTTTTTTTTAAATCACTGAATTTCAAAACTTTCATCATCACAACCCCTCTAACAGACGCAGCATTACTTTCAAATACAACATCCACTCTCCATTAAATTACCACTCAAATTGTTCTCATTTCTATTGTATGTACTAAACATTTATATTGCATTCGTAAGTACTATTTTTTTTGTTTGAAAAGCAAACTGTGTACATGAACGCCGGTTAATACTATGGTCCGGGTCTAATAAATACTGGGAAGAATCTAAGCTTTGTACACGAACTCATCACACATGGTATAGCTTTTTGATGCATGCATTTACATGGGGAATGTTGTTTTAAACCCTTAAAGCAAGGAAACAAAATGGCTTGTGTACTGAGGGGATCCAAAATTGAGAGTTACTGAGTGAACCACAAGGCAATTACTAATGTGGTCGCAATTACTAGGAGTTGGAAATGGCCTTATGACCTGAAAAAAAATGACAGGATGCCAGTCTACCGGTAACACTGGTCCCTGGTCCCCCAATCAATTCCTGCTTCTGGGCTGGGAACCAGTCATCTGCATTGATAATTGAATCATGACCTCATTCTTTGAGTTACAACTGCTGTTGTTTTTTTTCCAAACCTATGCAACTCGAGAGAGGGTTTATTTAAAGGATGACAATACAAACTCTCGGAATGCAATGGAAGTCACCAGCTTGTGGTTTCGTGCTTTTCCCATTCATGCACATCTTCTTTCTAGCCATAAGAAAGCAATTTGAGCACAGGCTTGTTAACCATGCATGACTTTGTAGTCTTTACGACTAGGGCTTCAGTTTTTGACTCTGATATACTTCTGTCTTAGACAAAGCCTTGAGTTGCATCCCAAACTGTCCTCCAGACTTATGGCTATGGCTGTTGTCAACTGGCAAAGATGCAGACACAAGATTCAGACACGTACAGCCCGTGAAAATAAGTGTCGAGAATCAGCTGAGGGCATCGGACTAACAGCGTGCTCCCCGCAGCTGCTGTATCACTGTTTCCAGTTTCATCGCGACTCCTCTGTCGCCCTCTACCGCCAGTTTACCTGCCATGTAGGCCATGTAGGGCCTGATCTGGCCCGTGAACATGGCGTGCAGGTCAAAGGTGGACGTGGTGAGCGTGACATCGGGCTCGGAGGGTGGCTCGCCCTCGCCAGCATCTCCCGACCCTGAAAGTGAAAAAAAATATAAAAAGAGGCATTTGCTTCAGGAGAACCTTTCAGCCATTTCTTCCATTCGGAGTCTACTTGAGAATCCAAACAGCAAATGGAGCAAGTTGGAAGGTGCATAAGTTGACAGCAGAGGTCATCAGAGGGATACTATTTTTGCATTTCTCCAAGTGGGTGCCAGCTCACTGACTTTCCAGGCAATGAGCACGAGGCTTTTTTTCTGACTGCAAATTTGAAGTGCCTTGGAAAATCTGGTGGAGCAAGGGTTACACTGTTCTGGAGAACAAAATTTATCAGAAAAAGGATTTTTAAAGTTTCATATCCAAGTACTGCCCTTCAAAATTCAAAGGCTGTTGATGAGTCCATCTCAGACTAGTCCTGTCACAGGTCCAGCATCACAGGGTGAATAATGACAAAGGAATCCTTTTGTTGTGACTTGGATTGAGACTGGATGACTTGACTTCTGATGGACTTTCACGGACTTGTGACAGACCCGACAAAATCTACTCACCGCTCTTCAAATCCAGGAAGAACGTTCCTCCGTTGTTGCCAGTCACCACAAATTTGTAGACAGCTTTCACGTCTTCTACGAGTGCCTCATTGAGAAGTGGTCTGACGGAAGTGAGGAGATCCTGGGGCGTGACGACAGGTAACGACACACCTCTCTGGGCTGGGCGGGGCTGGGAGGGGGTCAAGAGACTTGGTGGGGCGGTGGGTGGGGTTGGCATCTGCACGAGGTGGGACATGGCTGATGTGATTTCAAAATAGAACAAAAAAATTGAGATTAAAAAAAATTTAAAAATTGGATCCAACCCCAACATTGACGAAAATGACACGTTTACACAAACCAACTTCATACTATATTAGCTTTATGAATTCCAATTAAGTACTCTGAGGGCATGCTGACCACTGTAGCTAACATAGATTACCGTTCGCATTGGGCAGTATCGTCAGAACTTTTCACGAGAGTAGTAACAAACTGTTGCTTGCTTAACGAGATCAAACAAGCCGTCAGCAGAATCAAAATAGCCCTACCTTTGTCATCATAAACATAGTATTTCTACTGGTAATATGTACAGTTTTTTTGACCAGTTCTAAATATTCATAAGTCCATCCAAAGATGCATGCATTGCACAGCACATTCATAAACACCTGGAAGTAATCAGGTCATGATGATGTCACTTCTATGTGCTGATTGGACAATGACATGTCTCATGAGAATATGCAGTGGTGTGCCACATTCGGACTAATGTCAGAGTCATGTTTTTTTATTTCATTTCTCAGTCATCCCCAGGGATCTAGATCAACAAAGCCGAAGTTTGAGTAAAAAAGAGAAAAGAAAGACACTGTAATTTAAACTGTAATCCCAACAGATTGATGGTATTATAAAGTAGCAGGCTTACGTGAGTACTGGCCAGAAATGATCTGACTAAAGATAGTCCCTAGTTTGTCCACACTGACCCCTTCCACAGCTTCCTGGACGACGGTCACTTGAGACCTAATGAGGAAGAGGCAAGGAAACCACAAAGATGTTACAATGCAACGCAACGCAAAGCAACAACATGTTGCAACGCAACCAATCCTACTAGATTCTAGTGAAGACACACTCCAAACGTTACAAGATTTTGTAAGTTCAACAAGTTCAATCACTCTCAACTGTTTGTGTGAGAGGAATGCACCCCTGATGTGGATGTGATTGGCCTAGATTTAGACGGCAGGGGGAAGATTTCAGGCAACCCAATCCAAAGAGCTGACTTACACTTCCACCTTGCTGACTTCGATGCCCCAGTTGTTAGTAGTGGCGTTCATCTCTTCATGTATCAGTCCATTCACAAGGTTCTTGTCGTTCTCGATGGCCTTCAATGAGCGCGCGGCAAGTGTGTTTAGCAAGACAGTCTGGGCCAGGTTGCGCGTGGAGTGGTTGAGGTCTTGCACGCTGGCGATGGACAGTGAGACGTCTTTGGTGCGGAAGTAGACCGTGGCACCCACCGAGATCGCAGCCCCGTCTGCTGTGATGAGCTAGAAAGAACCGCAAATGTGAGCAAATACAGACAAGTTTCATGAAGGAAATTGGAAGGGCACATTTGGGACAATGCTATTTCAGTCAAAATCGATTTCATTCCACAAAATCATTTCTAAACCTAACCCCTTAGGGTGTATGTAACATCACATTGAAATCAGAGGATTGGGACTGTTAGGGCTATCATTGATGTAATCACAAATCACAAATGAAATCAGGTTTTCACCTATAGTGAAACTTTCAGACGATAAGTTCTCTTATTTTGTCAACTGACTCAAAATTCTCACAGCATGGCACTGTGAAATGTACTAACTTTTACCCCCTTTGAGTACTTCAGTAGGATCATTTGCCAACCCAGATGGGGCACATTAACCCCCCCCAGGACTTTTTTTGCATTTATTAAATTTTGGGAGTACTTCAATTTTTTTCTTCTCCAGAGTTTCCCAAACCCCTAAAATTCATCCTCAGACCAGATAAACCCATAGAGAAATCATGAAATATGATTGGAAATCCCCCTATCTGAAACTTTGGTTCTAGATGAACTTTTGAGAGTGACCTGCAAAGCAGGTTGTGATGCTAAGCAATCCATCTCCTGCTCAGCCACTTTGTGACAGTGAGTCCTGTCTTTTACTCACCTGCTGTGGAGGAACGTTGAAGGCTCTGGTCCTCATATCCACCCTCCGCCATTTGTCGATGAACGGGAGGACTATCACAATGCCTGTACGGAAATCATGTGATTAAACAACAGTGAGACTGTCATGTGACAAAACATGTACTATTAAAAACTTTACAACTTTCAAATCTTGTTTTTGTGACCGCTGAGAGCAATTTCAGAGAACTGCTAAGCTCAGAAAGAATTCACTTAGCAGAAACCAGTCACCAACCACGATGCTGTGCAATGTTTATTTACTACATGTACATGAATTTTCACTCAGCGTAGAAAGTGGTTGAGCGATATTGTTGACTCGACAGCCTCATGGAACTCAGCCAATTTCATAGAGAACCACTGCATATGTGTTACAATATCTGAGTAAGACGAACTTTGGTCAAGATTTTTTGCAATATTTGCCAATCAAGGTACGCACCTGGACCCTTGGGTGGTTGTAATCTGCCCAGTCGGAAAACCACTAGCCTCTCGAACTGCTGGACCATCTGGTGAAGACCAAAAGTGGAAGTTTCAAAGTGAAATTATGGACAACCAACCCCCAATGAAATAAAGAAATATGACAGTACATGGCATTCATCTCTACATCTGAAGTGGAAATCAGAACAGTGATGTCATGATAGTTTTAGCAACAGAAAATGGTAAAAAGAAGTAATTCCCAGTGAAATGTATAAGAAAAAAGCATTCGCCCCACTGTGGTTACATGTACAAGTAGTTGTCAACTTTATGGCTGACATCTTGCATATCTTATCTTTTGGGGTTGTAGTAGACAAATATTTATATAAAATTTGAATTAGACAATAAACAGCCCCTTTCTCTTAGCTCTGGACATGGCTAAAAACCTGGGTGAGAAAAATCCCATGTTGCCCCTGGCAGCATCAAAGACGATCTGATTTCTGGGGTATTTCCGATATTAGTCTTGGCTCAAGCCCTGAGCACACATTGAGCACTTGGTATAAAATCTCTCACCTTGGAAAATTGAGGTGTGTCTTTGCGTCTGTGATTTTTAAGAATGTTTTCGGGTACAGACGGGAATAACATTCACAGAAAAAAAATTCACAGGAAAAAAAAACCCAATTATACACATCTCTCCAACACATGTGCTCCATTTCTTTAAAAATTGTTAAACAAATGAAACGTTCATGGCAACATCTTTATCTGCAACCAAGGCCCTCCTCTAAAACGTTACTCTGATTAAATTTAACACAGGATGCAATCAGTCTTGGCTTTGTCTGAGACATTTTTTACAGCGCCAGCCGGATCTGCAAACAGAATTTGTCGACCCGGTTCTGACGCAAGATGACTTCCTCCATTGCCATTTCTCTCATCAAATTTGATTACGCTGTCACGAAAGCAGAGCATTAAAGGTGGGCGGAGGACGTCAAAGAGGATCCAGAAAGGGCGGCTTTGTACACTGGTCCAGTACGTATGTACATATACATTTACAACTCCTTACTATGGTAACACTTAATCATTACTTTTAAGTTTCCTAGAGAGCTTACAAAAATAAAATCCAACCCCCCTTCCAAAAAAGGAAGAACCAAATAGGAATGTATGGTTCACAAATTGAAGCTGCACATGAAATATGCTGCTTTGGTACATACAATTACATGTTATTGAAAACAAACATGTACCGTATGTTGTGAACAATACAGAAAATTTTTGAATAGCTGCAAAAATTTAATGAGTGCAAAAAAAAATGTCTAGTATGTAAATGTACGGTACATGTAACTAGCCAGAGACTAGTAAGGAAATTGCCTGAGCATGAAGTGTGTTCATGCTCATGTACATCTCATTAGATGACAAAATTCTGTCGATGTGGAAATCCCAATTTATCCTTCCAAGTAAGACCAAGTCCTCTCTTTTCTGCTTTAAAAAGGTAACCCCCCCTGTAATATCTCTACCCCGTTTTCCTCCAATCAATCCACCACGTCCACATCTGCATGTAAACATCTTCCAGGGGACCCGGACATTTTATCAGACTGGAAATCAGTGCAGCAGCCTCCCTTTGGTCATTTTCCCTGTTCTGCAATTCTTGCTAGCTCTTGCCCGAGTCATTCAACCCTTCCGTACTTTGTGTGTTTGCACCGGTTAATGCATGGGATCTTGTCAGTCCTCCCTGCCTCAAATCTTGTGCACGTACAACCGGTGCTAATGGGTTTACGTATGTTGAGGGTTCCGCTCGCCGCACGGGCGTTGTTTCAGGAAACTTCACGAGGCAAACACTGGTGAAGAGTAATCTAAATCAAAGCCCCAGCAAATTTTTTTTCGAATGAGAAAAGCTAATTGTTTTATAGGCTCGAGAGGGATTTTATTCTCACTGTCAGTGACTACAATCTATTTCTTTCATTGACAGAGAGGCAAGGAAAGTTTCAGATGGGTTTTCTATGGACTCTAGTAAGAGAAAGGATTCCATATTGGTCAAGGCACATTTACGTGTATCTCAGCACTAAATTTAGATTAACTGTAGGCAGCCAATGGAAGTTCAAATGGGCAAATGCTGATAAAATTTTGAACAGGATTTGACATGGTCTTTTTATGTTTTGGGCTTTCTTACAAATGTGATTTCGCAAATGACGGTTTAATACTGTTCCCCAAAACAGGAAATCTTGTCAGGATAAGACCCAGGCCCCCTCGTGGTATTGACTGCAAGCACTTTTTATTTTTTTTCTCACACAAAGACACAGTCGTCACATTTTCCAATCAACCCACCTGAACCCCCCCAAGAAAACCTACATGTATTTAATTAGGAATTTCCCACGTGGGAAAAGTATCAAGTTGCCCCAAGCATTTCTGTCACGAGCGCTGAATTGAGCTAGAACAAAATGCAGGCACCAAACTCGATTTGTTTTCCTCTCCGGGAGTCAGAGAGAAAGCCAAAAACTCCCCGGAGGTTTCTTTCTTTTTTCCCTCTTCCTCTGATAGATGGAGATTTCTTCTCACTCGCTGATTACGATTCTGGTTGATGAATATTGCTAAAACGCCTGGACGGTTTGCGGCGTGTACAGTTTAATGGGAATTCACTGCGTAGATGAGGAATTACTTTGTCTGGAGTGGGTCTGCTGGATTGCGAGTTGCTGGTTTCAGGTCCCTGGGAATGTGTTTTCTGTTCTGGAATGTGTTAAAGTGCTGCCTCGGATTAACAACTGCATGCATACGTTAACAGTTTTTTGTGCGCATAAAAAAATTATTGAGTTGCCTGAAAGGGAAAGGGTCAGAAAGTTAAGATTTCAAAAATGTTGTAACAACTGATTTCGTATTTCTGAAATTAGTTTGTAGTTTTTCCCCCAAAGAAGATAGTTGTACAAACTTTTTAAAATCAGTAAATTTGTGGCAGTTCACCAAAAAAATGTGAATGCACACTGTGCTGGCATTTTTTTTTTCTTTCAACTCAAAAATTCTAGATATCATTTTGAATGTAGCAATTTGTTACTTGTGTTCAAGGGGGTAGTCAACACTGCACGCAGAGAAACAATCAAATCTATGAAAATTAAAGAGCAGTGTAATATTTTAATCAGTGTTGTAGTTGAGACCACTTAAGACCTTCACAAGGCCAACACAAGACCTCCAGTCTGAATTTAAGCCACAAGCTATTCAAATGAACTGTAACAAAAGTATTCCTTTGTCATTGTTCACCCTGTTACTTCTGACTGGTCTTGTC